TGTTATTTTATTTTTTAAATTTACCAAAGTGTATTTATATTTAAATTAAAATTTGTTGCTACTTATTGTAGTAAAATTTATTATAGTTTTTAGAAAAATTAATAAAATATTTGGTTGGGTAGTTGTGTTTGTGTTAGTAAATAGTTAATAAACTTCTTTTTTCAAAATTAGTATGAAGATCTTTAACGACTAATAGAATAATAAAAATTAAAGAAATTTTAGAAGTATTGTAAGTGCTTTCATTTAGACAAGTCAAAGTTAAATTTTATGGCTAGATTTATTGGTGCTAACCAAAAAAATTTTAAAAGTTCTGATAATGAATTGGTTGTTTTTATTGTGATTGAGTAATTTATTATTGATGATTCAAATAATATTAACTTTATTTCTGATTATTAAGTTTCATATTTATGTAAATTTTTTTTTAAATTATAATATAATTAGTTATTAGATGCAAAGCAGTTAATTAATAAGCTTATAAATCTTTTTAAAAAAATATACACTAATTAGAAAAAAAAAATAGATTATAACAAAATATTTTATATAACTTACAATAAAAATTATAATAGTTTGAATGCAAACTAACTTAACCTTAATAACATACTATATATTAAGTTTGAAACAAAATTTTTTTGTAATTCTTGATAGAAATTATTATGATAGTTTATGCAAAATAACTTAATCTTAATTACATACTACATATTAAGTTTGTAACAAAATTTTTTGTAATTCTTGATAGAAATTATTATAATTTAATATAATTTAACTTAATCTTAACCTCACAGTGTAGTCACTAAATAACAAGTAAATTCCATAGCAGAATTTGTTATAGTAGCTCATGATAAAAATCACAATAATTCTAACACAAACTAACTTCATCTTAACCACATACAATGTGTTACTAGAATAGCAAATAAGTTTTATAACTGGATTTTTTTTTTTACAGTAACCCGTGATAGAAATCATAATAATTCAAATACAAACTAATGCAACTTTGACCACATAATGTGGTCAATAGTGATAGAAATCAAAATATTCTGATACAACCTAATTCAAACTAACTCGAGTTCTGTAAAAGAACTTTTTATAATAATTCATGGTAGCAATTATGATAATTTTAATACATACTAACTCGACCTTAATCACATATTGTGGTTACCGAAATAGTGTGTAAGTTCTATAATGGAATTATCTTATGGCAGAAATCACAATAATCTCAACCTTAACTAGTGTGTATGCTGCATTAGCGAGTCAGTTCCGTAACAGTATTCTCTACAGTTGTGCATCGCAGTAACTTATAAGTTTCGTGATAGTATTTACTAATTTGATTTAAAAAAATACTAAATAAGATGGGTGATGCATAACACCATCTATCGCACTAATATATAATAATGGTTGTATAATGACGAGAAATTTCTATATAAAGATAAAAACATTGATTTTGTGCTATATGGAAGCATTTTTTTTATTAACTGGTGATTATTAAAGTTAAAAATTAGGTCCTCGATTTAAAAATAAAACCCTGCTAAAACCTATTTATACTGTTATTATAAAAACTAACTTAAAACTCAAAAAAAATAATGCACTCTAAAATTTTGAGAATTCCAGTTTTGCGTTTCCAGCTTCAGCTATACCAATTATTACACAAACAAGAGTAAGTATAATATAAGCAAACCTCAATAATATTGATTGGGCGTTGTTAATTGACTCTTGTCAATTTAAAATCGACATGAGTCATTTGTGAATCAATAACTTTATTTTCACATTATATTTATAAATAGAACATTCATTTTAAAATAGACATTCAAAAATAATATAATACTCTTATATAATAATATATAAACTTTTAAATAATTATCGTACTATGCATAGCCTGTATCAAATTTACTGCTTTGTTTATTACGTGAATTTGTACCAGTGTTGGTCGTATTTGAAGGTTTGCTTCGTCGATTTTTATTCTGACGGCTATTATTTTGGAGGCTGTTATTAGTTTTATGCGAATTTGATTTCTTTACGCTCTAAGAAAATTTATAAAGAAAAAAAATTTTTTTTAAATATATGTATAAAAAAAATACTTACAGTATATCACTTTACAAATAACTCTCTTTTGTTTGCTTACCTGAGTAATATATGTATATGCTTTATAAATATTCGCAATTAATAATGATTTTGGAAATTTGTCGAGAATATTAACATTAGAAACCCATAATGGCCAACAATCACTACTATTTTTTTCATCATTATTTTCTGCTAAATATTTTGTAAGTTTTTCATCAGGACTATACAATTCTGACGACAAGTAACGAAACATAAATCTTTTCAATGCTTGCTCAAAAGTTCTATATGGAATTTTAGACAATTTTATACCACTACGACCAACTACATGTGATTGTTCAAAATCAACAAATGCATTAATTTCATCTTTCATTTGTCGAGACAGATCGGCCTTATAATTATCTGAAAGATGATAAATTTCTACATCCGCAATTTTTTCTTCTACAAGTTCATATAATGCTACTACATGCTTCAATTTTAATCCACTAACTACTTGATGAAATTGGAGATTTTCGGTTATTGCTGATAGTTTCATTCATTTATCATAATATTTTGTAATTTCCATTTCAGGATCTCCACTTGAGGTTCGTTTCAAAAAACAAAGCAGAATTTCAAGTTCTGACAAGAGTGTAGCTGGATTATCAAAAATAAGAGACGTATCTGAAGTATTTAGAATGTGGTAACTGTTTCTATTTATTGTTGAAGTGAATGTGTTTGCGGTAAAAAATCCAAGTTTTTCTGTTGGAATTTGTTCTTGTTGAATTAACGCTCTGATTTCTCTTAAAATAGTTTTAGTGCAAGTAATTCCATATGATATTGAAAAACATCCAACCACAGTGAATCGTTATTTTTTTTAAGATAAACTTTTTATAAAGAAGATTGTAAGCCAACTCTGCCTCTATTTTATGTAATTCATAATGGATCTCTTGTCCATGACCAAACTCAAGACCACATTGATTATAGGTGAGTAATTTAGGATTCCAAGTATAATTAATAATATT